TCCCAATCTACATGGAGGGCGGCATGCTTGTGGTTCCAGTGAGTCGTGAAGTGACATATGCAGACGTGATACTGTGTTTATAGGGTTTATAACGGCGATTTCAAAAGAACACGAACAAAGACAGCTGCGAATTTCTCGTTGCTGGAGGCTTGCAATGGGAACGAAGCCTTAGAAGGTTTTCGATGCGGCTGCAGATGGACTGGTCGAGCGCGAGGAGACTGTGAGCATGTTGACATCGATGTCCTTACATGCAGCTAATACCTTGAAGCTTCGGAGTCCTTTTAAAATTTCATGCTCGTGAGCCTTCCTATTCTTTCATGCTCTTTCATGTGGGGGCTCAATGACGATCGTTCACCAGTTGCGCTGTTCAACCAGGCTGAACTACAGCCAGATCGTCATACAAGCTATGGAGATGAAGGTGAACTCGGTCTCTTCTTGGTTGTTTCCCTGTTGCAGTGGAATACGACTCAAATGTATGCAGGGCGGAAGGAGACGATAGAAAGAGCAGAGAACCAGGTGAGTTATGTTCATATTCCTTCCCCGAGTCCTTCCCGAGCGCACGCACAGGGCCCAATGCCTGGACTCCAGCGTCTCGCTCGATGTGCACTCGTTTTTGCGTTTTCATATCCTTCATCTGTACCAAGGAGCCTGGATCGTGATGGAGGAATTGTCCGAAGATGGCTTTCCGATGAACATCGACGCGGTGGTTGGTCAATTGCTTTTTCGATGTCACATATTCCACCCAAGAGCCACTTGACAACTTGCAACGGCTCTCAGAGTCGTCGTCACGGCGTAAAGCTCTCTTGTAAAGGCTTTGCAAGGCTTTGTATGAGAGCTAGATCAAGCTTGCTCGAGAAGGAGGTAGAGAAGGTGGGAACATGTGAGTACTTCATTAGATTTTCTTTCGATTATCGATACCTTACCGACTCGATTAATAGTTCCCCCCCAAGTCTCACACCGGTGGGTCAACTCGACGCAGGATCGCTATCATCCCAAGAGACAAAATTAAGATACTGTGACGTCTATACCATCTGATGTGACGAGAGAGATCGAGATCGTCAACGCGCTTGAACAGAAATAAGAGGGTGAGTCCTTTTCTCGTCTCTCGGGTATGGCGGTGAACGTTGTTGATAGTAGGTAACATTTGGGTAGCAATCAATTTCAGGCTTGTGATCCCTGTTTGAGGGACCGCGATCGAGGATCACAGCAATTCAAGGGCAGTATTTATGTCCCTACAATACGTCTCTTTACTTGACACACGGAGTATTTGTCGAGGGGTAAATCGATAAGGCTACAGTCCTTCCAGTTTGGAGTATGGTTAGTAAAATTTCCTGAGTTCGGGGATGAGTCTTCTCATACAAGTATCCCTTTCCACTTATAGACCCAAAGAAGAAAAACAGCTGGAAGTCCGACCGATGGTGGTCGACTCCCACATAACCAGCCGGAGCAGTTGTCTAAGCTCGTGCTTGGCACCGCCGCTTGCTACTTTTACTTCCGTGTCTCCGGAGATCACTACGCGAGCCAAAGGCACGCTCACATCCTGAGCACCTGAATGGTTTCTCTCCATTGTGTGCTCGCATGTGATCTATAATGAGAACACGACTGTGAGTATACGACGAGACCTGTATCCAGCGAAACGTAACTCACAATCGTAATTGTGCTTGGCAGTGAACCCCTCGGAACTGCATCCTGGTACGTTGCAGAAGTAGCGAGGACGTCGTGTTTTGCGACGGGCTATTGAAGCCCCAGTAACCGTGGAAGATCCTACTTGACGGGGGTTGCTGGAGATATGGTTAACAAAGAGGAGACGTTCGCTGCTTGTAGCAAAGGAGGATTGAGCTCCGAGGCTATCTTGGAGCGCCTGTCTGTTCGCAGCTGGCATTTCTTCGCGATGATGGCCATTGCTGTAGCCGTGCGCATCGAGGAACCTTGAAGAGATGCTGGCGGAGAGACGGATACGTTGTTGGTTGCCGTAACTCGTCGGAGTCGCCGAATAACTGTGGCGAAGGACTCAGTCTTCGATCGACAGCATTGATCTGAACTGGCTGTGGCTTACCTGGAATTGAGAGTCTCGGGACCGCGCCCGAGCCACGACAAACGCTCCATACTGGGGCCGCAGTCCATGGCGACGGGTGCTCCTGATTCTACTTGATGATGGCTGATGGAGGTATGATTGAATGAGTTGGCATGGACGTTATTTGAAACCGGGGGTGAATGGGACAAAGAACCACCGTATAGCCCTTGTTCTGTTGAAGCTAGAAGTCCTCGTAAATTCTGGCTATTGCTGTGGCTGCACGTGCCGAGAGACTTTAAGACAGGATCGGCGGCTTGTTGGCGATTTCCGCGACTTGTGTAATTGGGCTTCAATCAATAGTGCTAGTCCAAACTTATTATAGCTTACCTGTAAGCGAGGCTCTTGGGACGTCCCAACCACGATTTGAACACGGGGCCTGCCCAAGGATCACCCGACATAGAGCTGATTGGCGTCCCGGTGCTTCCCCGGAGTTGTTTCATGTTGGCTGGACCTGTTGATTCGGAATGGAACACGGCGCTTGAGAGGGCATCATGTAAGGCGGAAACATTGAGACCGCCGATTTGGGGTCTGCTATGCTGATAGTACTGGCTAGGCACCTCTTGTACGCCTCCGAAATGACCGAAATGGTCACTAGAAGGAAGGGTGTGATGAGTTATCCCAACTTCGATAAGCAAAGGATCAACTTACCCCAGGTCGACGCGTCCAGGGTCGCTTGACTCTGTAATGTCCTGGGAGGTAATCCCCGTGAGGACTGGGTCTCCGCGTCCTTGGAGATTGGCTGAGCTCAGAAGGAGAGAAGGGGAAGTGCCAAGAGATGAGGGGGGAGTTTGTTCGTCGAGGAAGGAACCCGCGTCTTCCTCAAACAAGCTGCCACCCATGGCAACTTTATTGCTATCTGGGCAGGGTACGCTTGCTGGGGTATGGGATGGGCAGTGAAGAGCTATTTATCCATTCTATGGGTAGCATCCAGCTAGAAAAGTAGATTTTTTTCCACCCGGACTGCAGAGTATGCGTGTTTGTGCTAGAAGGCGCTTATCACGCCCGGCTTATGATGATATACCACCGAAATACCTCTTCTCTCCTTCGCCACTTGTGGGACTAGCCATTTGCGACTCCCCGCTGCTAAAAATCGATAAACATTCATTTAAAGGCAATCGTGAAGTAATTGGTCAGTGGTCATGTACACTACTGCGGCACTGAGCATCAAAGCGTTCGTTGATTGATCATGATTGTTCAGATTGGCGAGCATCAGGCGACTCCCAGGTCTCCTGCCAGCCACAGCCTAAGATTGGGACACAAGAAACCCCGTTTTTATTATCGAGAACGTTAAATCAGCTGTAGCTTGAATACACCACCTGGGTCCGAGATGGCAGGCTTCTAATGGTTATCCTCAAAGCTGTTCAATACTATAGTAAGGCCGCAGACTTCGGGTTTCAAAACGCTGTACCAAGCCATGTATCAAATCCGCTCTCTCAATGTAGGTGATGCACGTGCCACCAGCTCTGTGCAATTCGAAGGCACTCCTAGCCTCCTTGATTTGTGCTGAGGATGGTTTTTCGGTTTTCGGTTGGCAGTCCGGCCAAATGTGCCTTTGGATGACAAACGGCGTTTTTGCACATTCAAACAGACCATCGAGTCGAACATATCGGTGAAACTTGATTCACACGATGTGAGCAGACATCAATGGTAACGATCGTACAAACTCTTTTCGCTCACTGCGAACGGACCCCAGAGACCATCGTGACGGCGGACTCAGACTCTCGACGACTAGACGTCGAGAATATCTGGTTGATTCAAAATCGAAACATCTGAATTGAGGTTCGGTCTCGGTCCAGTCCATTGCCAGTGACCAAAAACTGGTCGGAGACTCGAGTACTCACTAGCAGCTTGACCCATAATGATTCGCCAAAACCTGTCTGGCCGCTAGAGTGGCTCTATCAACGCTTGATGAATCAATATGATCGACGGCCCACAGTTGGCCTAGTGATCAATGGCAGGTCTTAGAATCAATTTCGTGTCCGCAGATCTCATGCGAGAATGAGGATCTAGTAGTGCAGATTAGGTCCTCCTAATTCCCCGAATTGTAAGCCATCAGCTTTCTGAAGCTTCGGATGTTGCACTGGATTGTTGGGGAAGATTGAAATTCATGGCATCGGCATGTTGGGTACAAACCTCACTTGTTACTCTCACGGATAAAGGTTCGAGCGGACGCGGCGACTCCTCTTAGGAGATGACTTGATGGCAACGATATCAGAAGTTGACATCAGAAATTGACCCCGCGACAAACCTTTCCTCTCACATCGACTCTTCCACCTTCTACTACGTCTCCGTACCTCCTACAAACGTAGCCTCCCGTTGAATATAATCTTCTTATTTCTAACAATTGTGAAATCCAAGAGTGGTACTAAAAATAGGCATATTCCTAGTTCATCATTCGTGAGGGTCAAGTGGCCCGGGAGACTCAGAGCTATTGGCTTCCTGTCGATCATGTCGTCCCAATTGGGGTTCAAGGCTGCTGTCACCATTGGGATTCCATTTGTAAGAAGTCCCAGCTCAAACAAAGGTCATCCTGTGGCATGGCGCCAAGTCTAATACATACTTGAATCAATCCGAGTCCGAAAAGCCAGTGGGATTTTGGGCACTCACTCCGACTCGGATACCGTCGGTCTCGGTCATCCCGGGGCACGCTAAACCTGGGCATGATCTGGTATGATTATCGAAGTGCGTTCGAGTCTCGACAGAATGGCACGGGGGGCTCGGTCGTCACGGGTGTGGTGTTAGATGGGAGGCATCAGGCAGCTCCAAGGTCAAGAGGGTTTCTATCAATATGAACGTGGCGTCATCCTCATCTACTTGATACACTCGAGTAGTTCAAAGTTGACTTGACAACGTTCCTATTCTCTGAAGCTGATTTCGTGTCTAGTGCCGCCACATCCTGGTTTACTCAGACGAGGGTCTAACACCTTCCAATGTGGTGTAGTGGCTAACATTGCTGTCTTTCATACGCGTGTGGGTATTTATCTAGCACAGCAGCCCGGGGTTCGATTCCCCGCATTGGAACTGGGGCCCATTAGCGAGACTTTTTGGTTGTAACCCCCGTTCGTCTTCTGTATACTTGAGGTGAAATGAGATCAAGTGTCGTTTTTCGCTCACTTGTCTCAGTGTATCAGTAACTACAAGCCTTAAGTTCTATCCGACGGCTTATCTACACTCCCAGGGGGTCGCTACCCGCTTCATAGCACATACTGAGGTTCTTCAGAGGGCAAAGCACGGTCAAAGCACCCATCGAAAGACCAAGCTCAAGCTAACTGTGATAAAATTTGGATTGATCAAAAGCAACATGCGGCTCCCGAGATGATCGTATTGGTGACGGTGAGCGTTGATGAAAAGGTCCCGCCCGAGGTCGGACTCGGCACAGGAAGCCAAAAAAGAACTGGTTTTACCTGGGCGGGACGTCGTGATTTTGTGACACTGTAAGATCTAATGAGAGGGTCCCGGCTCGGAGGTCCCAAGGTTCTTCCTGCGGGAGGTAAAGGTTACAGCACCAACATCAGTCCCAAAAGGCCGCGAGTACACTCGCGCTCACAGGCGGCCTGAGACGACAGTGAAACAGGTATAATGGTGACCGTTCAATCCCGCACCTTGGCAACTCGCAAACGATCGTTCGTGTGAATTGCCGATGATGAGGTTTTGAAACAGACTGGAAAAGGTCCCGGACTGGGGTTCTTCTTCGGGTTAGGAGGTGGAGGCGAAAGTACGAGAAGATGAGACTCAGGGTCGTACTTGCAGGAAACACGGTCTCCGTACATACTCAGCTCCGCGCACAGTACAGTACAGTGTTTGATGAAATGAGATGCACTGAAATTCAAGGCCCATTCGTAATTGGTGACGTCCCAGTCGTTGTGTGGGTGTACTGGCCGTGCCGCGCCTGCGTGGCGAAAGTCAGTAGTTAATTCGGGTGCAGCTAGTCCAGATTCGCTCTTCCGTTGGCAGTGGGATGAGGCTGGCGGATGTAGTGCTGATAAGATGGTCCTGAAGTGCGAGGGTCCAGAGTGTTCAATCTCCCGAGTTTCTTTTCCAGATGCCTGAGTCCCGAGTCCTGAATGCTTATGAATTCTCGTGGGTAGAGGTGGAGGTCAAAGTACAAGTGATAACGATGCGAATTATAGAGTCATACTTACTTTGATTCTCGTTCCCAGCTCAGTGGACGATATCTTTGAAAAGATCCTACCAAGACTCCTCCAACCAAGTCCCGAGGTGATGACCGGTCAAAGCACCGGCATCAGTACCATAAGATTTCTTGTACATTCATAGCCATGAGTGCCCAACAGGCGATAGATACTATGTATGGTTGCGACCGTCCAAGACCATAAGAGGAGTCCGATCCCGATTCCTAAGTCCAGGAGCATAGGTTTCGTGGCCCGCGAACGATCATACACGTCATGTTCATCACGCCAATGGTAAAGGTATTGTTGAAACAGGTTGAGAAAGCGACCCGCGCGCACTGGACAGCGCTCCAAGCTTGAGCGTAGCTCATTCTTCTTCCTGGGTTTCACGGAGGTCAAAGCACGGTTGATAAGGATAAGTTAGAGTCATACTTGCGGCTGATTTGATTCCCCTCGTGCCCAGTGGATGCTCCGAGCAATCCGATTCCTAACACAAAATCCCACCCTTTGATCGTGACCATGCACGTTGGTGGTGTATGAAAAAGTCCCGCAGAGACGCACTGAATTTCAAGGCTGGCGTCTGCAATCGGTGATGACGTCCATATCTGGGCGTACTGACCATCGCTGCATGCACAGCGCAAGGCAGCCATTAAATCCAGGGGTAACTAGTCCAATTTCGTTCGCTGGGATGAGGTTTTGTAAGACACTGATAAGATCGTCCCGAAGTGCGGCAATCGGAGTGTTGAATCTCCCGGGTCCTTCTCGAACTCTCGAACTTGAAGACTCCTAAGTGTAGATAGAGGTCAAAGCATGACAAGGCCAATTAGATGATGTACGATTCCAACTGTTTGCGGCGACGTAAGTACCAGCAACAGGTCTGATTACGATTCCTGACGTCCCGCTGCCAGCGGCTGCCCGCACTCCACGAACGATCGGAATTCGGGAAGTTGATAACGGTGAAGTACTTGCTATCTTATGAAAAGGTTCCGAGCGAGCTGCGACTCGCGAGTACTAGTGTTTTCTTGAGTCCTTGGTCCGACCGAGCCAGGTTCTGGGTGTGGTATTGGTAACGAGTTAGTTCGGCTGGTCCAGTCGTTCGTTGAAGCAACAAAGAGCTATCGAAAAATTACTCTTGTTGACGAGAATTTCTCCGAGACATGACCGAGGGGGGTCTGGGCAGGTCTCATGTCCGTTTGTTGGGATTGAGAGGGTTACGGAGATGTCGGCGAAAGAGAGAATATAAACGGACCGGGGCTTGACTGGATAGGCAGGTGGCGTCATAGGACGAGTCGTGAGTTTAGGTAAATTATCGCGTACCTGGAGAAAAAGGTAAAGATAGATGTGATTAGCGTTAAGATGAACTCGCAGCAAAAGAGCGTCGAACGTTGTAGAAGGAACCCCTAGGATCCCATGGCTTGCACGTTGCACTCGATGTGAAGGTCTGGGGAAGGCTTCACATCGCCAGACGACCCTTTGTAAAGCATGGAGCAAGGGGTAGCCGGGTTGATGGCCGCGTGCACGTGGTCCTTATTTGTTTATATTGAGAACTGCTTTTTTTTCTGTTCGGGCAGGGGAGGTGATGATATAATGCTACGTCAGCGTTCGTCATTTGTTTCTTTCCCTTCCCCCCCCTTCCACCACACAACTATACGCTCAGAGAGCCAAACTACCTCATCGCACTGGAAAAAACGTCATGTCTTCAACAACAAAAAGTAAATCCACCTCTCCATCTCGCTCACACAGTCATTCAACTTCTACAGAACGACCGTCCCTTCAACGCCAACGACGTTCCGACTTTGATTTGGAACCTAACCCATTTGAACAGAGCTTCAGTGCGCCCTCCAATGTTCGTGGTTCAAGTCCGAACGGAAGGACATCAGCAACCACATCATCGAGCGAATCGGTCCCCCAAGTCAACGGCAAGGAGCAGGGAGGAGCAGCAGCGGGAGGAGGAGGCCCACCGACAAAATCACCGCCATCCAAATCGACAAGTCCAAGGCCAGTCTTGCCGCCGTTGGCCTCGATAAACAGTCCAGCAGACCAAAGTTATCAATGGGGATTCGGCAACTCGTCGTCGCTCGCAAACTCACTGAGATCAGGCCCTCTATCACCTGCCATGTTGCCCGGTCCACAACAACAACCGCCTGCACAGACCGGTGGCGGAGGATCGATGGAATTCGACCCCAACTCATTCCGGACGGGTCTCACACCGCGTACTGGGTTGACACCTAGGACAGGGTTAACGCCTGGCGGGCTTGGTGGTGCGACTGGGTTGACACCGTTGGGACCCGTTGCGTTCCCTGCTAGCCCTGGGACTGCCGCGTTTTTACAGTTGATGCATAATAATCCGCCTACGGGACCTACGATTACACCTAATACGCTCTCGGCCATCACGGGTGCGCTCAACGGCGCAGGTGCATCGTACCAACAACAGCAAGCGACGTCACCGACAGATGGGGAGGGATCGCAGGGTTATCTTCAGAGCGCGAACGCGGCGGCTACGACGGCTGCTAATGGGCTGTTCTTGTTGTCGCAAGCACATCAGGAGCTGACGAAGAGAGAGGAAGAGGCGCGTGCGCAGAATCCCAACGCGACATCTGTCAACTCGAACGCGTCAGCATCGGCGAACGGGGGCGTAAACGCTAAACGAGGGACGAAGAGGAAGAACTCGGAGGTGCAGCCGGTCGCGCCGCCGCCCCCTCCAGCGAGGAAGAGGACAAGGTCGAGTGTGAAGAGGAAGCCTTCGTTGGATATGGATGAGGACGATGAGGATGATGATGATGATGCAGAGGGTGATGATGATGGGTCGATGAAGGGTAGCATTTCGGCACCCCAGACGAATGGGAGGGGAGGTGCGAATAAGAAGCCAGAGACTGAGGAGGAGAAGAGAAAGAACTTTTTGGAGAGGAATAGACAGGGTGAGTGTCGTCGTTGTCTATCACTGAACATCCTTCTAATGCCCTTGTAGCTGCACTTAAGTGTCGTCAACGTAAAAAGGAATGGCTACAAAAGCTCCAGGCCAACGTCGAAAAGCTCACCACAGAAAACGAAAGACTCACATCGGCGCTCGTGGCATCCCAAGCAGAGATTTCGCGTCTGTCAGCTATTGTCGGCTCAGCAGGGCTGGGTGTCATGCCTGGCGTTGGTGGAGTTCCTGTTGGAGGTGTGGGCGTTGGTGGTGTTGGCGTCGGAGGCGTCGGTGCTGTCAATGTCCATCATCAGGCTCAGGGTGTTCCCGTCAGCATGGGTGTTAAGGCAGGCGCTGTCGGTGCTGGCGGAGAGAAGACTCAGGCGCAGGCACCTGTACAGGCTGGACAGAGAGCAAGTAGTGGGGGCTACGGATATTGACAGCGATAGCGCCATTTCTTTTCTTTTATTCCTTTTCTCTCTTTCCCCTCCTCATCGATACACGGCTCTTTCTTTTTCTCTCTTGTTGTATAACAACGAAACACACGAATGGACGAAGATAAGATAAATTACTTGTATCAATTGTCATAAAGACTGCTCTTTTTTCCGTCTCTATTCTTTTCATCCTCTCCCTCTGCAAGTACTTTATTTACCCCCTGCAATACTCCTCTCTCTAACTCTCGTGCTCCCTCACTCACCATCCCCCTGCCGTTATATGATACATGCCTCCTTACGTTTTTTTGTCAGTCTCCGATACAGTACTCGTACTCATTTTTTACGTTTTTCATATGCGTTCCGTTTCTTAGGGGTTGACAGCGTCGTCGTTGTGTTTACTTATACGTAGCGTGTACAAAGACTTGATTTTTTTATTCTCTCCTTCCATTCCTGCGTGTGTTGTATGACCCGCCTTCAGACTTCAGAGTTGAGAGTCGTGTGCCTTCGAACCCAGACTCGGACCTTTTCTGCTCTTCTGTGACGAGAATCAAGCTCGGTATGTGTGCTTTTTCCCATACACGAGGCGTCGTGTACTCATGGTCCGTGGTCATTAGGCTACCTGACGACATTCTTCAACTTCAACTTTTGCGGCCTTCAATGCCTTCAATGCTTGGCTTCGCGATCGCGAGGCGCTTTGACCTGGGGTCCGTATCATGGGATCGCGGTGGTAGTGGTGGTTACTATTTAAGGGTTCGTCGTCGTCGTTGGCGTCATTCAATTCATTCGACGAGGAACGAACGGGAACGGAGGTATCAACTGATATGTCACTGTAATTTGTATCGTAAAGGCTATCGACTATGTCCGATTTCCGAGGGGGTCCTTTTGTTTCTTAAATCTCCCTGGAGAAGAAAGGAACAAGTAAAAAGTTTCCCCATCCCCTTTGAAGTTCCAATGCGGGGAATCGAACCCCGGGCTGCTGTGCTGTGGACATGGTCAAATTCCCTGAAAGACAGCAATGTTAGCCACTACACCACATTGGAAGTGCTTGCAGTTATGAAGGGGTTGATGAGTCCAGGGAGCGCTTTTGAAGTAAGTTGGGGATGAATGGGTCTGGACACGACAGCGAGCGAATGACGAGAGCGAGCGAGTCCGATAGGACAGGAAAGAATTGTCAAGTTGAGAAAGTGGAAACAGGCGTTCCTGATTTGGGTATATTTTTCTCACACTGACTTGAGACGTACGCGTAAGCGACGGTGATATGTTACTCCAAAACCGTCACGTTCGCGAGACGACCAAGCCTCGGACGCTGGCCTCAACACCAACACTCAAGGACTATTCTTAGCCTTGATTATTCGTCCCGTTTCATGCGAGAATGTACTCGCCATGCATTCACAAGATGGAGTCAAAGAAAACACCTTGCAAATCAAAAATCCCTCGTTTCGCCGAGTCCTTCAAACCGCCCCTTCCTCCATCTCCACTGCCACCAGCTACACGTTTGTCGTCTACAATCTTGCAAGTGACTTGGCAATATCGTGATATGGGTCACCGCCGGAAGCTCGATATAATTCGACCGACCGAAGTCTGTAATACGACTCAGATTTGGGGCGTCATACGACGTAGAGAGGTTCCGGTGGTCTTTATGCTTGGTGTCGCACTACAGATCGGTGTGCTTCATCGACCTCAATCTACGCTGTCTTTTGGAAGACCTCGCCTCTTGGACAACGCGAATTCTTTTCGACGACAAATCGTTCATGATCATATCAAGGATCAAAACACTAGTTTTTCTGAGGATGTGCTTGGAGGAAGAAGAAGTGGACATAGAAAACGATGAGGAATCTACTCTAGAGATGAACAGAGGGCCGGCGGATATGCTGTTTTGGCTGTGAATACTTCAGTCGACACAAACCTTGTAGTCCGCGCATCCTCAAGCACCTTGGTACTCGCGAGAAGCGTATCTCAATCCCCCCCTATAGTGCCACGCCTGTCCCCAACTAAACATTCAAAAAAAAACAGCTTCAGTGGCGACCGAAGCTCCGTACCGTTGCGGGCACAGAAGCTACAGAAAACGACAACGGCTAGAACTGAAACACTGCTTTCGGGCTTCCGAGTTTGAATAGTAGACCTGGCCCCTAGGTGCTCGTGCTGTATGTGAGTGGTCCAGTGACCAGTCTAAAGGATCGTAGAAACACGATATATCTACCTCTGCCGCACTTCCTCCTAATTCTGACCGAGCAACTCGGATTGCCAAAACGTAACCCAAGACCGGACGGCAATTCGAGAATGCAGCCTGGTAACGACGGCTCGGATCCTAGCGATACTACCTGGTATGTCCTCGACCATTACTCGAACGCTCGGGTCGAGTTCTCTCATGGAGCAGACAGCACTATCAAAACAGAAGGAGCAACCAGTCATCTCGTGGAAACAACGGGAACGCTTGATCCTATCACAATGTTGTTTTCCCGCACTGCCGTCCAGCGATGCAGGCGGGGATCCTTTGGGATCAATGCGTTTGTGCATTGCCATTGGGAGTCGGAAACTAGGTGGCATCCTTCGCTTGTTCCCTGGTAAAAGTAACTTCCCTGGTAAAACTAATTTCCGATATCGCTATGAGCTCTACTTGCCATCAAATACCCATCTCTCGTCTCCCATCTTGCTTAGTTCTCAACATGTGGGTTGGCAAAGCCCGATACCATCACCAACTCTGGCTCCTCCCTGCGAAGAAAGACGCAAGGGTTGGATCCAAATTTCGTGCGGCGTTGCGGCGTTTGAACTTACTGGGTTATTGGTGAACATGAAGACGCTGGCGCTCGAGCCCCGAGACATCGAATAACAAAATGTTCTCCGTCGAGTTACCGAAAATCCCTCAGGTTTCTTAACTCGCGGATTCCGGCCATGATCGTCAATGATGTATCTGGTATCTATGGTCATCTAGCCATCATCCACGCAATGGACTTCGAGAACATTGATATCGAATGCTGGCAGTAAAACATGCTTCCGAGGGGCCCTGAGGGTGTCATGGCGAAACCAGCGCGCTCACTCGAGGTCAGAATAACTTAGCTTTCGGCAAATCTGCGATGGTTTGAACGATTGTACTCAATTTAGGACGCGGACGTCGGGCGCATGGAGTGCTCTCTTACAGATATAGACATCGCCAACGAAACAGAAATCGGTAAATGGGAGTCTTCGGTTGGCCAGTCGTTGCGTTGACGTTTGGGGTGAACTCGGATCCATAATATTTCGTCCTCCCGCTCCCGCCCTACGACGTCGGGATTTGATGCGACAGTGGATTCAACTTGTACATGGGGTTATACTATATGTTTACTCCGCGCTCCTGTTATTGCCTGAGCGCCATACATCCCGCCGTCTGTCTCAAGGCATCCCGCCCTTTCGTCGGACGGTGTCAGGAGCTCTTTGCTGTGGAATCATGTGAACTCTGAAACTACTACCCCCCTATCACTAAGGGTCAGCAACAAGGTGGGGTCCCACGTTTATTAATTGGTTATCGTAAAAATCCGATATCTGCGTTTCCGCACGCGCCCTCCCGCCACAGGAATTAGTGAGGTAAAATGGAAAAACAACTTAGATCGGTGATTGCCAGTGATCACATCTGAATGTGGGGAGTCGAATATCGAATATTGGGATGCTGTTGAAAGCAGTAACGCTACGTTGGATCGATCGAATGAGGGGCCATGCTTTCGACGGTCTCTGAAGATGTTAGACCAGGTTGTATTATCACGGCAGCAGAGGGCCACCCAGAAAGATGAAGGTGAGATGTAGACTCTGATTGACCCGGTCTTGGCAATAGAGTATTCAAAAAGGTGTCAATGGTGGTGGACGTTACTAAAATTAATATCCCAGCGGACCTCAATTGCGGCAACTGATTCAAATCAATGAGTAGTAATTGTGGATCGTCCTTATCGGAAAGGTTCGAAATAGCCATGGCCGCGGTATACGAATACCGGCGGCTTCAGGAGTGTGGCATATTGAACTGGAAGAAAAGTTTTCATCATATCTCCGCGTTACTCTGCACTACTTGCTTCGAACTAATTTGTACTGGTAGCCGGGTTTGATTCTTCCGACCGCGCAGCAGGCTCCAGACACTCAGTTCAGTGATTTAGAAGAGGCATTTGCATAAAGTCGTGGTCAATCTTACACTCACAACTTTGGGGTTTGTGTGGTGTTACTGACTCGGAGTTGGCGTGCTGTTCGAAATGAAACGCCACATCTCAGAATAGATATCAATGTCCGTCGTGATGAAATGGCAGCAACCTGATGTGCTCAATCATGTACATCTCTGGGGTGGGTGCATAATTGAATCTGACTTTTGAATGCTATTGGGAGGTAAGTAGGTATGAACGGTGGCTGGGGGGGAAATATCATGTGCTCCCCCGTATCCTATCCCACAGCCTACAAAGTCTACATAGGCTGGCCACAGCCCATGCTATACCGTCGAGCTTGCTTTAGGGCAAGATTATATTGAGAAGTTGAAATGCAAATACCCCCACCCCGCACTCCTTGCCAAGGCGGGACCATCAAATCGTTCGCCCATGACTCGGATAGACGCCACCAAGGAGAAATCATGGCATGTTTCTGACCGTAACGGCCATAGCGAGTTAGAGCCCGAAACTAAATAATCGATTTCTCCTACTCAGTTTTCAATAAACCTGCCCAAGATCTTCTCTTAGGCAATCGTCTTTACACCGCCTATCATTGGGGTTTAAATGCATGACAAGTTAGACTTACAGACTCGTTAGTGAAGGAGAACTCACACCCCCTTCCCTGTCACCATTATATCACCCACCCTCGCCCGCCGGTTCCCCCACAAATACAGACCAGAGCTCCATGGTAGCCATCCCGGAAAACTTCGCTTCTGACGTTATCACCGACCCGCAGACCACCGAGTGGATGATACCTGCTGCAGTTTGGAGCGGGCATATCAACGGGCATAAGTACGTCGTAACCTCCATTACATGTTGAGCTAGAGTTACTCATTCACGGTTTACGCAGTGCCTATCTCGAGGACGCCCAAGAGCCACTTCATCAGACTAGTCAGCGTCGCAGACCGCAGGTCGACAACTTTGATACTCCCTCCCTCGAAGGTCCTATCTCTGATAACACGCACCACTCCGGACACCCAGTATCAGGACCCGTCATCATGAGTGAGCCTCAACAAAGTGCAGAGGTCCCAGTAGACTCAACGTTGGGCGAACCCTGGGCAGGACTGTTGTTATTGTGGTCGAGTCCCGAGTCTGTCGATAATAGGTACGCCACGACGGCCGTTAATAGAACCCACCACAAACCAACCCATCCGTCATATGTAGTTCCCCCTGGACTCTAGGTAACGGCAACCACCGACGCACATATCCCTCCGCCGGTGTATTCACAAACACGCAGAACGAGTACAGCAACAACAGCCACCATCACGGTAAGCTCCTAGAATTGATAGGACACCCACCGTGGCCACCATCCTGTGGTTTGCCTGCAAGCCATCCTTCCTTTGCCACAAACAGCATCTTTCCCTCATTAGTTGATGACAGCACCAATGGTGTTCGCGAAGTAGGATCTCCCGCGTTGACTGAGGCTTCGACAGCCCGTCGTAGGTCGCGGCCCCCTCGTTACTTCTGTCAGCTACCAGGATGTAGCTCCCTAGGGTTCACAACGAAGTACAACTATGATTGTCAGTCATCCTATGTTGCGACCAGTGTCGACCCTTCTACTCACCTTTCTGTGCTCGCCGTTTCTACAGATCACATTCGAGCACATAAGGGGGACAAGCCCTTCGAGTGCACGGAATGTAAGCGTGCTTTCTGCTCGCGGAGCGACCTCCGGAGACACGGTAATCGAAAGCGACGCTGCCAGAGTCCTTAGATGACTTGTCAGTTGGACACTTGGATCCAATCTCTCGATGTTATTTGTCCATGACACTTACAATATTGTGCCTGTCACGGGTAATGTTGGATTTTCAGTGCTTGAGATGGAGATATCCTTGTGAATATCCGAAGACAGAAGAGAGGAGTACGTTATAGAGCTTGAGGCCAGA